GTGAAATCTCACCTTGGAATTTAATTGTGTGATGGTAGTTCTTTTTTCTTCTCTAGATCGTCACATCGGTCTCTATGTTCTGATAATATCATCTGACATTGTATTTCTTCCAGATATTCATTTATAGTATTGGGATCAATTTATTATGTTGTGCATAGTTTCTTATAATATTTTAAAATATAGTTCATGATGTCATATTCCCTGTTAATTTCTTTTTATTATCCCTTATTTTTTTTTTACTTTTACCCCTCCTTTCCTTACCTTTTCTCTTCTATAGAGTCCTTCTGCTTTCTTGTATAGCTGTTTAAATTTTCTTGCTCTTATTTGTCTGCCTTTATTTTCATTTTCTTGAATCTCTGTTTAGTATTCCTTTTACTTTATTTCCAATTTCCTCCTATTTTGTTATGCCTAGTTGTCTCTGTAATTCCTCTTTTTACATTTTTTGTAATTTCCATTCTTCTTTCAGAATATCTACCTGCGTCTTTTTTAAATTTATTCTTTAAAATATCCCATTCCCTAATAATATCTCTATTCCCTCTTTAAAATATCCCATTCCCTAATAATATTTCTATTTCCTCTTTAAAATATCCCATTTCCTAATAATATCTCTATTTCCTCTTTAAAATATCCCATTCCCTAATAATATTTCTATTTCCTCTTTAAAATATCCCATTTCCTAATAATATCTCTATTTCCTCTTCAAAATATCCCATTCCCTAATAATATTTATATTTCCTTTTTAAAATATCTCATTTCCTAATAATATCTCTATTTCCTCTTTAGAATATCCCATTCCCTAATAATATTTCTATTTCCTCTTTAAAATATCCCATTTCCTAATAATATCTTTATTTCCTCTTTAAAATATCCCATTCCCTAATAATATTTCTATTTCCTCTTTAAAATATCCCATTCCCTAATAATATCTCTATTTCCTCTTTAAAATATCCCATTCCCTAATAATATTTCTATTTCCTCTTTAAAATATCCCATTTCCTAATAATATCTCTATTTCCTCTTTGCATGAATTTCCATATTCTTTCCTTATTATTTTTATTAAATCATTTTCTTCTAAAATTTTATTATTTAATTTCCATATCCTTATCCTCCATTTAACCCTGTATTTTATGCAAATTTAGATATGAACTAAATTATGGTCTGAGATTTTAACGTCTGGAATGGATGCATTATTGTATATTTATTACTATAGATGGTTCATAAAATCTATCCATTTTACTGTCGTGCATGTATTTGCATATGGGGTGGTGGTGGTGGTTTCATCCCTATCTCAAAAAATTGCATCCAAGTCAATACTGGGGATTTTGATGTTATAGTTGCCATTCATAGTGAGCTCCCTATTCGCTGTGTTGGCTCTGTCCATGTCGACTGTCGCTGTCTTAGGTTCTCGGGACCCTTGGGGCTTTCCACATTTGGGTCTTTGTTTGCCTTGTTTACGTTAGGTGTTTTTGTAATTTGAGGTATGTTAACCCGTTTACATTGTTTTACATTATACAGAGCCTGGGAAGGAGGTTACTCGTATATACGGGCTCTACTAAGGAAAATGACGGCGCTGATGAAACTATTTATCGGTGTATTAGTTTATTATTTCTGTTTGAATTGCTTTACTTTCCTCTACCTTCAGATTTGTATTACTGCTGGCTATCTTGCTTGAGTGTGATGGCGCTGCTGGCTGGTGTTTGCAATCCTTCGGACCTTAAAATGCATCGGGGAAATTTGGCTAAATCTAGTTCGAATCCTTTATTCCATATTTTAAGTAAGTAGCCCATCGCATAAAAATAGACTGGATGCAATTGGCTTCCTCTTTCCGGGCTGTCACAATTCTGACTCCTGTCTTAACATTCATAAACCCTCATACAGTAACCATTTTGCTTGCTCTGACCTGGGTTTTCAGGGTTGTTTTTTTTCTTTCTTTCTTTCTTTATTTTATGCACTATCTCTCTGCTATCAATTTCGAGACGGAGTCCGGAAACAAATACGTATGTTATCTTGGCCTCTAGCTCTCTGATCATTGGTAAGGCTTTATCCACTCTTGCTTTTTGATTAGTGGCAATTTGGGACTTTAGCAGCTTTTAAGATTTTGTCCAGGGATAATGACGCTGACGGAAAGTTTTGCTCCTACATACAGCATGTTCATCTTAAAAACAAGGACAAGTTATTTTGATTTGTTGTGTCACGTACTCAGTATGTTGTTTGTATAAATAAGAACACATTCTCACATCCCATTTTGATGGGATCAGGGTCATGTTTTGTAGCAAAGCATTCAATGCTTTCCAATGTCAACAACAACAAACATCGACCTGGTAATAGAAACTACAGCTCCAGGGAGGCTTAACTATACCGAGCAATGGTCTCACTCGTAAAGACCTAAGCCTGGTCGCTGAGTTCATCTATATAAGTGTGGTAGTGTGAATTTATCAATGTGATGGCATGAATTTATCAGTGTGATAGTATGAATTTATCAGTGTGGTAGTGTGAATTTATCAGTGTGCTGGTATGAATTTATCAGTGTGATAGTGTGAATTTATCAGTGTGGTAGTGTGAATTTATCAGTGTGGTAGTGTGAATTTATCAATGTGATAGTATGAATTTATAGTGTGGTAGTGTGAATTTATCAGTGTGCTGGTATGAATTTATCAGTGTGGTAGTATGAATTTATCAGTGTGGTAGTATGAATTTATCAGTGTGATAGTATGAATTTATCATTGTGATAGTATAAATGAATTTATCAGTGTGATAGTATGAATTAATCAGTGTGGTAGTATGAATTTATCATTGTGATAGTATGAATTTATCAGTGTGATGGTATGAATTAATCAGTGTGATAGTATGAATTTATCAGTGTGGTAGTATGAATTTATCAGTGTGATAGTATGAATTTATCAGTGTGATAGTATGAATTTATCAGTGTGGTAGTATGAATTTATCAGTGTGATAGTATGAATTTATCAGTGTGATAGTATGAATTTATCAGTGTGGTAGTATGAATTTATCAGTGTGGTAGTATGAATTTATCAGTGTGATAGTATAAATGAATTTATTAGTGTGGTAGTATGAATTTATCAGTGTGATGGTATGAATTAATCAGTGTGGTAGTATGAATTTATCATTGTGATAGTATGAATTTATCAGTGTGATGGTATGAATTTATCAGTGTGGTAGTGTGAATTTGTCAGTGTGATAGTATGAATTTATCAGTGTGGTAGTATGAATTTATCAGAGTGGTAGTATGATCTTATTCTGGTACATTTAGAGGAAATATTGTACATACCTAACTGCAAAAAAAAGAAAAGAAAACAAAGCAGTTCACATCATTTGTACAATGTGAATTCAAATGATTTATCTAAAGATTTCTGGCGTATTTTTGTCCGAATGTCAGTTAACATTATTAAGCAGAATGGTTGATTTGAATGTGTGCTTATGACACAATGCCTCGGTCTTAAAGTAGAAAATTAAAATATTATACTATAGGTCAGATAATTCATGATGGAAATAACATTTGGGGATATCTGAAGCGCATAAAGCCATTTATGTTCATGACAGATCAGATATACTTACCTCTAATTTCTACTTGATCTACTGAAATTGAAATTCTAATCTCGAACATTACAAAAAAATACTGACATTTTTCATGTAACCATGTAGTCAATTATTCAAGGTTAACTTCAACGGATTGATTAAACATTTCTGTTCTAATTGTCAGAGTGTACATTAACAATTTTTATTAGTAATTAATAACGCTGAAGGCAAAAGTGGTTCATATGAATGATGTCAGCATATGCTACATTGCTGCACTTTGTAAATCAATATCGCAACAAAAATTAATAATAATAAAGAATGCATTCAGACTTGCTTTATTATGCTGTTTTCCGATATCAAAGTTACTTAGAACTGGGAAAAGTACAGTTTATCTCTTCGAACTATACTTTTTGTCACATTTTCATTTTCTGGTAGTTTGGAATGACTTATAGACCGTTTGAGCCTAAGTAAATACTAAAAGCCAGATATCTCCCCATCATAAACACATAAATTAGACCCATAATAAAACTCATAATAAATAGTACGTATTGTTCTTGTTGTTGTCTTAACACCATTTTTCAGCACATGCCATGCTATAAATTTACGAAAGGCTACAAATTTCGGCCAGTATATTTAGCAGAGGAAGGACGACTGACCCACGGGATCCTACTGGGAAGCTTTCTCACATGCCCACCTTGGCCGAGCCGGAGACTTGAACACATGCGGACAGAAGCAGTATGGCAGTGATCTGTAAGGGAGTGCGCTTAGACCTATCAGCAGCTTGGGGCCCAAAAAATCATGTAAATGACGAGAAAGATGTCGTCATGTGCTTTTAACAAAAGGCATCATTTGGACTTTGAAAGATTTTTTTAACATAATTTGAAATTATCCACCATTTGAACTTTTTTTTATGGTGTAGCAATACACACATGATGATAATAATAAACATCAATCCCACAGAAAAATAACATATTATATACTTTCTATTTCCAAAATTTCAAACGTTAAATTTTGTAATTTACCTTATAAAATTTTCATCCTTTTTATTCATATGATTTGAGTTTTAATTTCAGTATATATCATACATTACAATTTCATGCCTCTGTCTCTATTAATATGCGCGCCATTCCATTTTAAGGCTAGCAGGACAAATGTCACTATTATTTGCCAAGAATACCTAAATATAAACCAAGGATCCCCAGACAACAAAAGAGAAGTGCGTGCGCGCGCGTGTGTGTGTGATTTGGATTTTTAACGTAGCTTTAACAATTTTTCAGCCATACCGCTTCAGTGTGGCACTTTATAGTGATGTACGGCACTGGGGCAGCACACCGCAGACATGTAGCTTGATGTCCCACCCAGTCACAATATCCTGATACCAAGCCAACCAGTCCTAACACAACCCTTTAATGCTGAGCGCCATGTGAGACAGCTGTTAGTACCATTTTTGTAAGTTTTTGGTATGACTCAATTGGGAATCGAACCCACGACCTCCCGCATCCGATGCGGACGCTCTAACCACTTGAAAAAGTTCTATCTAAATAAATTGGGACAAAATTTGTCAGTACGTATCTGGAAGCAGTAATTGTAACCCAAGTCCATATATAATGGCGGCGATGGGAACAACAGTCAGCCATTTTCGTCAAGTTCAGAAATAACTTTGGAAGTTGCGGTAAGAATAAACACTAGTTTGACGGGTTTGGTTATTCGTGGCGAAGCACGACAGAAAGGGCCGACAATCGTCAGATTACAACTTTGTTTACTTGTGACGCTACATTGTAATAAGTAAACAAGATCAATACAGAAATTAGTTCTCAGTGGCGGCGAATCACAACCCGATGTTTCATTGTCGACTTGTACAACCCCCAATTCCCAGCTCCCCCGGAAGCCCAAAACAAACTAGGATATTCAGATTGGCAATGGGAGCTATGGCCAGCCATATCATTTAGCTCGTGAAATAAACTAGACAGTATGTACTTGTAACAGTACACATCAATTTAAGGTGTTTAGTGATTCACATCTGGAGGAGTATGCCTCAAATGTTAAGACAACAAAGGCTGAAATTTTTCTGACTGACTTTTTCTTCTTCAACCGTTTTATTTTTCCAGGAGAAGAAAAGTGTTTCATTATACAGATCTCAATGGCAACCAATTACATTCAATACTTCCATCTCGTCTGGAGGTTAAACGGTCTAATTGTGGTAGCTACTGTAGTTCTTCTGAGGTGTATCGCTGATCGGCTAGGGTGCCAATGCGGTATACTAAATTAACTTATCGGTTATCGGACCATGATGGTACTTGTTAAGCCTAATGGTTAGGGCACCATTCGGTATACTAGTTCCCGTTACGTGTGGTATGTCGTAGATCTCAGTTTGAATTTAGACTGCGCGAGATTGTGACCTCTATATAGTAATGATGTATAGAGTTGTCTTCAAAGATGGTGTTTTTCTTTTCTTCTGACCTCAAATGCTCTCCACCAATAATAAAGTGATAATGTAGCAAATGCGCTGCTAACATCACCACAGACAAGTTCACGGAATATAAAAGAGTAATGTAAGTGATTTGCATCGAATACTTGAAAGATGTATAAAAATAAACAGGAGCCATGTCATCTTTAAAAAGTTTATGTTTCTGTTTATGAAAGCCAGATTTGTCCCAGTGTGTTTTAAGTTAATTATCTCTAATAATTCAATTTTCATGAATTGAACGCGTTTTCTGCAAATTGATTGGATGAAAATGATCACGTAATACTGAACTGTAATTTTTTACACATCGATAAATTCTGCACTCTTTTTGGTTCCCTGTTTTCATGTAATTTGATTTGGAGTGTTATCTGTATAAATCCATTACACCCTAATAATAACAACACCCTAATAATAACAACAATAAAAGCCCACCCACCCATTCCTGTGATTACCAAACAAAATTTACAATCCACAGATTAAAATGGACAATTATAACTTAAAACTATGTAATTGCACAGACCTTCCTGCACTCCACCACTCATACCTTTTGCCGACGAAGGCACGTGATAGGCTTTATAAGCCAGTCTTCGGAAATTATTGCATTTCACCTCGATAAGATGGCCATAGAATACAATTAATTTAACTATATAGTCTCTACATTTGTTTCTCAGTACTGAACTTTCCACTGTGTGACAATCAATACAAATCATGTTAATCTAAAATACCTTCAAAGATGATTTTACGGTGAAGTTCTTGTCAAGGGTTGACCTGCATTTTTTTGAGAGGCTGAAATGTAAACAAAACACCATGCAACGGAACACAGATTTCACTTTCGGATCATCACCATCACTGTGCACTGTCAACGACAAACACACAGACAACCACACCATAAGCTCACATTCTACAGAATAAACAATTGCCCTTAAATCCTACCAATAATTTCCAAAATCTAACTCTTGTATCACCACCAAACGGAGACAGGAAAAATGATCTAAAAATATAAAGGGACTACATTCGTGGGTACTGAACCGGATTTTTATCACTTGTGTACTGATTCCTGATGTTACAGCAGCGGTGATTAAACGTCATGGTCAAATGTCAAACAAGGGAATTCATTAAAAATGGATAAGATTTTACATTTTGAAAGATCGAAATGCGTAGAAAGTAAAATCAACGTTGCAAGCGTAATTTTCGAAAAAAAAAAAAGGAATAGCCTGGTTTAACCTAAACAACCATTTTGTCTATATATTTAAAATAATGATTATAACAATGAATCACTGGCATGACCCTCTAGGACATTATACTCCATGCTACTGTATAAAGGACCGACTAATCTTGGCTAGCGAAGATCGAGTTATATATTATAACGGACTTTAGTGCTAATAAAAGAAAACTTCGATCTACATAAAAGTGAAGGTATTGTTGATTAAATGTGCTGATCTGACGTTAGATACGAAGTGGCCGAGTCGTCTAAAGCGCTGTCCGTTACGGATGATTGCCATCTCACCTCTGTCTGCGTGGGTTCGAGTCTAGAATTCGGCGAATGTGGATATGTGAGAAAGCTTGCCAATAGCTTATCGTGGGTCGGTGGTTCTTTCCGGTGATTTTCCGATTTCTTCCTCCACCATTAATACTGCCGCCATGAATAGCCTATCGTGTGCTGAAAAATGGCTTGGTTAGCCCAACAACAACAACAACAACAAATGAAAACAATTAACAGATCATGGTTGGGTATTTATTGATGTATACATTTGACAAAATCACTCACAAAATACATAGTCTTCGGACTTTATGTACTTTTTCAGTGATTAGGTAAAATTTACATATCGATAAATATCCAACCATTTACACATCGATAAATACCCAACCATGATCATTTAATATTATATTGTGTCAAAACATTAGGTTTGTGAATCGTTGCAACAGTAACAAAAGCGTTACGTAAGACACTGTTTTGTGTCCTTGAACGGCTTTACGAGTTTTAAAATGGAAACACTTTACACTTTGTGTGTACGGGGTGGGGAGAACAAAATTGAAATACATATTATTATTATCCTAAATACGCTTTCGATTATAACTGCTGATGTTGAAGGAGGTCCTACTATTGTTGAGAATAATGCTGGGTCATTTTGCTTACGAAGGCGAGACAAGACCTACCAGCTAATTAGGACCTAAAACCTGGACATAGACTAATACTATTAAAAACTTTCAGAAGAATACAGCAACTGACGTAGAAGACATTTAACGCTGTAAACTTTAATACCGGACTTACACGTTAAATTGATTGTTGACGTCATCACTGAATTTTTTTTTGCTTCTATATTGCAAATTATCGTAAAAAAAATAAATGCAAACTATTTAGATCGCCATTGACAGATTTTGTTCTGACCTGCAAATTATTTAGATCGCAATTGACAGATTTTGTTCTGACCTGCAAATTATTTAGATCGCAATTGACAGATTTTGTTCTGACCTGCAAACATTTTAGATCGCCATTGACAGATTAAATACTGATTCAGCAGGACAACGTATTGCTGGATTAAAGTTCTGTACAGTTGGCGTTTTGTGGGCTAATGTCGTTTGTTTTTTTTTTCAGCACGTGACAGGCTGCATATGGCTGACATTGTATTCATGTAGGAAGAACCCTAGAAAATTCCCAAAATAACCACCCAGCCACTGGCAGCTACACTGGCAAGCTTTCTCGTATACTTCTGTTGGCCGAGAATAGACTCAAACCCCCTCGGACAAAGATGAAATATGATCGATCTGTAAAGGCAGGCGCCATTTGACCTTGCGGCCACCCGGGGACGTACGATACTGTGCAGACCTCCGAAACCTTGTACTTTATTGATTTAGGCTTAATATATGGTTACAATTGAAAACAGGGCAGAGAAAAACCAAAAACACCTTGGTCAGTTAGTCGGAAACTATAAGGATTGCTTGGGGGAGGGTGTTACACAACATGACGTAACCAAACAATTTTATGGGTGGAGAAGCGTTGTATAGGGACCGCATTATAAGATAAGACTTCTGGATGTCAAGAAAGATCACGTCATAGTTTGCTGATCTGGACTGGATTCCTTTATATTAAATAGTTCCATAATAAACCACACATGGTACTGTTTGACGGCCTGGCTTGATGACACGTGGATTTCGGTAAGATCATGACTAGGAAGGGCAATAGTGGATAAAGTGGAATCACATGGTTTCGATTCGACCAGAAGCATTTGAAGGCTTTGTAACAAACAATCAGATAACTATACGGACATTTTTACAAACCGAAATTGATTAACGTACAATATGCTTAATAAGGGGATTATTCTGCTGACTAAAGTCACGGGTTTACCATCAAAGAATTGATGACGTAGTCTTAGACGATCGTTAATACCCAATTTTATGGAATGTGTGTTTATGAGAGAGAGAGAGAGAGAGAGAGAGAGAGAGAGAGAGAGAGAGAGAGAGAGAGAGAGAGAGAGAGAGAGAGAGAGAGAGAGAGAGAGAGAGATTACCTGTAATTATGCAGTTTGTTAAAATTGTATATTGAACCTGCCCACTTTACAATCACTATCCTAACAAATATTGCAAGGTGTAAAATATCATTAAACTTTCAATGCTTTGAATAAGAATTATGATGCGCCTTATGGCTAAATAATATAAGATCACATTTGTCTTATTCGAAAGTTATCTACATTTTCGGAGTAACACTTTGAAATTAAGATTGGATCAAAACAGTCTTCCTTAAATGTGCTCTCCAATTCAAGGCTTTGTGAGATCCTACAAGTGTCATGGTAACTTCACCTGATTATAGTGCTGTATGGAGAGCTTATTGTAATTTCACAAAATTATATTGACATACAATAAGTTGTATTTCAATTTGAAATGTTTCCAAAAGATGATCAAAGTATCAAAAGTATATTTTCCAATTTAATAATTCAGTGAAAGCCGTTCAAATACATACACCGGTCTCGTTCATCTTTAAACGTATGTTTTTCAAAACCATATTTGTAACATAGCATGTTTAAAATTATCTATCTCCATTTATTTTAGCCTAAAAACAGTAGATTTGTGTGATTT